TTAAAAAAATATATATATATAAAATAAAAAAACTTTGACCCAGAGCGGGAATTGAACCCGTGACCTCTTGCACTTAACTCCTGGAACTTAAGGCAGTATCCACACTTGGATTTGCGTATTTATAGTTCTACCCGGTGTTTATTCACATCCGGCTTCTATTTAAACGAGAAGGTGCGGTATAAAAGGCGGTGCCCTGGGCATGGTGGCTTCCGTTTTTTTTCACGTGTAAAAATGTCTACTCTAGATGATGTTGCTTCTTCAAGGAAAAACGCAGGCAGAGAGGGGTTTTGGTACCAAATTGAGTTACATTTTACTCTCAAAGAAGATAAGGACCAGTTCCAGTTAGGCTTGATCGAGTTAAGGGGTCTTTATAGGCACTAAAAGAAGGCACTGGAAATGCTGTCTCACTTACTTGCTGATTTAGTCAGGAAAGAGGGTCATTTAGAGGCTCTATCACATGATACTAGTTATACTCAATACTTCAGGTAGTTATAATGTGTTTGAAATTAGTATTAATATAAAATAAGGTATTGGTAATGGGGGACGAAGAGCAGCCATTTTGTGCATAGATATAGGATCGGCTATTGGGACGCACATGTTGGTGATAGTGTCGTATGGTTGACTGAAGGATGATCAATTACAGTCAGGTATTATTTATTATTATTATTATTATTTTATTATAATAATTATCAAAATTATATTTATTTATATTATTACTATTATTATTATAGTATAAATCATGTGATTTGTGCTGAATTTCAGTTCAATGATAGTTGAGTCCTGTAATCGTAACTCAAGTTTATTATGTAGTAGATACAGAAGTAAGTATAATGTGAATGTAAAGTAATCATACATTAATTGGCATTAATATTTTTTAGGCTCGTACTAGCATATACTTGTGCTGGTATATTACCATCACAGTACTGCCATATTTTGATCGGCATTACTTGGTACAGTTGGGAAGATGTACACAACTACAGGAAGCTTCTCACCATCCCCATATCCATTCAACTCTGTTATTGTATATGCTTAATAATTTAGAATAATATAATTTTTGTATTTACTACTTCCAGTGGATCGTTGAATGTTGCAACTGCTACCAGTACTAGGATCTGATTGAGGACCAAGTGGGGGTCTTTTGCTGTAACCTCTTCTACTTGATGAGGGTGGCTGATAATTGGTAGTCGGCAAGGCCTAGTCTGGTCCCAGTGGTGGCAGTTCCTGGGCTGGTTTTTTTATGTAGTAATGAGGGCTATTCCTTTGCCACTATCACTTATAACCTGCCTGATAGCATTATTGACCATGTTTGTTAGGCTTTTGACAGATTTTCAGAATATACAATATAAATATTTGATAATAATGTAAAAAATTATTACTTCAAGCCAATTATACCATTTCTCTTCTTGCCATGCTTTCTACCTGTGCTTGTAGGTTAACTCTCTCGCCTTTACTAATTTTAATGTTTTTATAATGCGTTTTGCTAGTGATTTAGCCATGATAAGAACAGTGCCAGTGCGGGAGCCATTTTGTTATTTTCAAATGTGGCCGCCATATTGTGCCCAGGGCACCTCCTTTTATACTGTGATCGACGGAAGCGATTCTATGACGTTGCGTGAATAGTTTTATAGTGCACCTTCTTGTTTAAGAATATGCGGTACACAGTGTACCTTGCCCTAAATGGTATATGTACCTATTGTTATTAAGTATATCAGTTTACTCTGTGCTGATATAAACAGCAATTCTATTTTTAGACTATAATTTTGAAGTTGAGGCTATTATTAGTAACAGCATGTCACTGAATGTAATAATGAAGGTAATATAGTGCTTTGGTATTAGCTTAATTTATCATTTCTGTACATAGCAAATGAATTGTTAATAGTAAAATCATAGTTTTTTTAATGCATATAGATGCTTTGTAGAATGTTTGAGGTGATTCCGACTTAAATTTTTTAAGTTAGGGCCATTTTAAGAAATCGGCCAATTTTTGAAAATATAAAATGGCTATGTATGAATATAAAATATAAAATACTATAAAATCGCTCCAAAATCACCCAAAAATTTTTATTACATTGTCTGATGCATATTGATGTCCTTATGCTGTGTAGCATTAAAAACTTGCCAATTGTTATATTTTATAGGATAAGTTCATTATTCAACAGCCTGTTCCATTGTCCTGTGAATTGACTGTAACTGGCTTAACTCAGTCATCAATGGACTGTCTCCTTGACAAGCTGTTTATATTCACTAATGTCACTGAAGGAAATGTGTATAATTATACTGTTACTATTACTAATGTCATTGGGTCTGCTGTTAAGAATGGTTTGATAGGTATAGTGGGTGTATTGAAAAATACAGCATCTACTCACTACATAACGTACACATACACAATAAATACTAAATGTGTGTACCGGGTACTGCAGTGTGAAATGTTTCAATGAGTCTTTAATGTTGATATTTGATAATTTCACATAGAAATTCCTTACTTACCACTTGAAGTGTGTCCTTCAAAAATTCAGTATTCAGCTTCAGCAATGATAATGATGAGTCCTCTTTCATCAGGTATAACTATACATGTACATGTACCATGATATGATAATAATAATTAATATTATTTTATCAGTTATAGAATCAGTTATAGAATCAAGTACACCAGCCAGTACATCTTCAGATAGTTGCAATTGTGTTCTTCCATGGACAGTTGGTGTATTAATTGGGGCAGCTGTGATGATTGTCGCTTCACTTGTGATCATTTTTATCATAATAATTTATTTTGTCTCACATAAATAGAGGTAAAAACTATAAACATGTTTCTGCTGTGTTTTTTAAGACATTATATTAGATACTACCCAGGTTTACTAGATTTTATTTTTGGACAAGAGTGAGCTACTTATTTGAGTGTCTAGTTGAATTTTGTGAACATTGTGAATGAGAGTGTAAAAAGAATGAGTTAATTGGTTGTGATATTTAATATGTGACAATCAAACAAGAACTTAAGTCAATCACACTACAGTGTCAATCATTGTTCAGTGTTAATAAACTCTTCTATACATATTAGTCTTACTGCAGCATACACGTTTAAGCAATCAAAGAAATACACAAGACAATTCCTAAGACTGCTCCTAGGACAGTAGAGTAGTGTAGCTTTTTTGATTTAATTATTTAATTATTAATTTCTAGACTATACAGCATCATGTACTACTTTTGCATACATTTACAAGTCCTCATACAACATCAATCAATGAATGTACATATCAACATTAGCTAACACCTGCAGACACCCACGCAACTTATTCATTATGCTTGTATATAAGATACAGTTTATCGATTCTCATAGTTCCTAGCTGATCTCTCTTTCTCTCCTTGAGTGCTCAACCTCTCATTATGGTCTTAGGCCCCAAACTCTCATTAAAAGTATTCAGTTATAAGTCAAGTTTTAGCTATATGGAGTCAAGTGCATCAGCCAGTACATCTTTAGATAAGTGTATTAATTGGGGTAGCTGTGATGAGTGTTGTTTCACTTGTGATTATTACTCTTGCCAAGCATAGGCATATAGGCAAGGGTATATGAGTCGATTTGTCACTTTGTGTGTTAGCAAGAAATCTATTTCAAGCTGTCCAGCTCTCAGGATAAAATCTCCAGAGACTCAAAACTAATTTTTCTGCATAGAAAAAACTGTTTTCTTTCCTTGTCATATTAATAAAGGTCAGGACTCCTGTAAAGATAGATTGCATCTCATTTAATAAAGGTAAAACTAATAATAAAGCCTGATGTGATTTATTTTTTACAATAATATATAGGCAGTGACACTTCAGATTTATCATCTCTTGCATAACAAAAGAAAGTGCAGAATTGTCAAATTGTAATTTTTATCTGGACTATAATAGTGTTATTGGAGCAATTGACAAAACACATTTCATCATCAGGTATGATGCACAAAACAAATAGTCTGTCACAATTTATGATCAACAAAACCCAATCACTATGTGTACATTGTACTCATTTTAACACTACAATCTAAGGAATTTATCTAACACTAATCCAAAAACAATTTATAGTAATAGTACATTTTATAGTATAGTAATAGTAGTAGTGTAACAGAGTTACAAAATTATACTGTCATTTTGTAACTCTAACACTTGTTTGGTCCTCATAACTTAAAATTTAGTCGGAATCAGCTCAAACATTTTACACAGCATAAGGACATCAATATGTATCAAAAAATATAATAAAAAATTTAGGGTGATTTTGGAGTCATTTTTTGAAGCAAATCATAGTCTTTGCTTTTTTAAAAAAATTTGCTAAATGGTCATTGTTCAATAACTTGAGGTGTAGTATGTGCTTTATTGTTCTTCAGTTCAAGGTAATATTATTCTTCAATGTTAACATTGTCACTCATTGACAATATGCCCTCCTCCTGCTTTGCTTTATCCCCATCCTCCCTCCTTCCCTCTCCTTGAGACAGACCTGATAATTTTAATATTTGAATCAAACTCTCACTACAAAGGGAACATACACATAGGAACTACTAAACTCTTGCTACAACATAATGTAATAATAATGTTCATTATACATTACAATATGCACTCAATAATTATGTGTATGTATGTATGTGTACTAATTACACACACTCTATTATACTAATGCTACTACTACTATTAGATTAGTTTGAGTTATATTCTCAGGTCAGTAGTATCAGCACCATTACAGCTGCACTGCTAGAAGCAGAGATATGATTGCAATAGCAATAATATACCCTGTGGAATACTTGCCTTGACCAGACTCCATACCCCCACTTGTTGGTGTTGCTATTACTGTTATTCTTATTGTTGCGGTCACTGTTGGTGCATTTGTTGCCGTTACTATTGTTGTTGTCAATATTCCTGTTTGTGTTGTTGTCCTTGTTATTGTTGACGTTGTTGTATGATCCTGCCTCTGTTGTTGTTTGTGTTATTTGTGATGTCCTTGTCCTTGTTGTTGTTATTGTTAGTGATGGTTCTAGTATTGGTGATACAGTAACTGCAATTGCTGTTTTAAACTCATCCAGTTCCAAAAAGTATTCGCCACATTTATACATTCCTCCAGGTGGTGGTGTTTTAAACCCTCCTTCATACTATATTAGATCTTATCTTTTTATGACACATCATTACCAGTTACATTTTCCTGTATGTACTGGTGCAACAAGTTCTCAAGTTGGCTTCTTTATACTCTCTTCCTTCACACACTAGACAAACCTTATAGATACAGACACAGGTGTGCACAGTTCTTGGAATTGCCTTGTTTAGATAATGACTTTGGAGTGGGTTTGCTTTGGGTTTGCATGAAGCAGGATTCTTTTTATTGAATTTACTGTACAATATCTCTATCATTTATGAACTGTCGTGGTGTCCTTTTTATTAGCACAGTTGTGTTTGGTTGAGTAGTAGAGAGATCTTTAATTAATTTTGATGTTACAACTTTCTAGCAGTACAGAATTATGCTAACCAATTAATGCTAATGCTATACTGTATTATTGTTAATGTTATAATTCTAAATTTAGCTTACTGTGCAATTTGTCTGAGCACAATAAATCTCTTGGATCAAAATTAAAATTAAACTATGAAACTAGAATAACAAAATCAATACAGCAAAGAACATGCAGCTAAAGCCACATACATAGCGAGAAATATACTAATAAGTTCCTATAACAATAATCAAATTATAGAAGTTCACTCTACGAAGTACTAATCACTGCTCTTGATCAGATCTTCAACTTTCTTTGGCTTGTAGTTGCTCTCATCCAGGAATACTTTACCTAGTGACTGGAGCATTGAAGGATACCAAGCAATCCCTTGCTTCTGTTTGCTATGGAGTGAAGTGTGGAAAGTATTATAAAGATAACGTAATGGGCCAAATGCTGCATGAGCAAATTGATGATCATTAACAACAGTATAGCAAGAAGCTACAACATCAT